AGTACTTCATTTTGGGGGTCGTCACCAAAAATCAGCTTAATAAAATGAATCCCTTTTAGCTTAAAGTGACTTAAACTAAACATTTAATAAGGTGAATAATACAATTTTTTTTTACGATTTTGGCCCCTAAAAGGATGTGTACTTTAAATGTTTACTCATTACCATTCGTTCATAATAGGGTAGCAGTCTTCGTTTCAAGGGAAGAACTGAGTACACAGGAAATACACGTTGAAGAAATTTTTCTCAAGAGTGAAGTTCTAGACTAAGATTAGTTGAGAACAACATAATGCGGCTTAAAAAACACAAATCCTCTGATTCGGACGGAATACCTACCTGGGCTGTTTGTCGGCAAAGAGGTTCTCAGGCGAGAACCAGCTCAGCTAAATTCATGCGCGGAGAATGGAACCCCTTAGTAAGTTGCCCAATCCAGACCAACTTTTTATCGATTCTAAAGTAGCTTTTGATAGCGCGAGGAGAAGTGGCTCTACGAAGCATAGTCTGTATTTGGAATTTGAACCAATCAATTCAAATTGGAATTTGCATTGATCAATTGATGCATCAGGGTCTAAAAGGGTTAGGCTTGGTAAGTATTTTAAAATTATAGCCCCTTCGCGACGAACAAAAATTACGCTCTAACAATCTCTTATACCGAAATATGTGTAGATGATGTCGAACCGAGCTGAACATGCTATGAGAGCTTTTATTATAACTTTGTACATAGTCTACAATATACTCTGGCGGTATTTCTTGACACCGAGAGTGAATTCAATAACATTGAGGTTAACACCATTATAGACTCTTTGAGAGATATGGATGTCGACGACAGTGTTCGTAGATGGATAACATCGATGGTGGTCAATAGAATCATTCAGGCGATAAATAACACATCATGTGAATAGAAGCACACCATAGGGCGATGTACTCTCACCACTGCTATGAGGGATAGCCCTGAATGGCATACTGATAGAACTCAAAAGAGGGGCGTCAAAGTTGTGGCATATGGCGGATGATGTTGTAATAGCAGCCATAGGCCCATTCCTCTCTAATGTTAGCGAAATTATTTAAAGAGCCCTGGAAAAGCAACACGCCTGCGCTGCGAGAAGCGATCTTAATGCGAACCCAACCAAGACAGAACTTACTTTTTTAACAAACAGACACAAATTATCACAATTCAAGCTATGAAATCGGACGTCAGACTCACAGAGTCAATTAAATCGAATTAAAGAGTATATGGTACAAAATTTGGACTTCAGCTGTAACGTGAAAGTGTTATTCTCATCCAAAAGGGTTTGGAGAAAAGACCGAGTGGTCGACCGAGAGGCGATCTGTCTATACACCGATGGATCCAAGATAAATTGCGGTGTAGGAGCGAGTGTAAACTCCAAGGAACTCGGAACTTTCGGAACTGTCTCTGCCGTTGGCAAATAATACAAGCATCTTCCAAGCGCAAGTTCTAGGAATTGCTAGAAACCTGTGAAATTCTAGGTAATAGAGTTGGATACAAGAGTAAACAACAATTTATTCTGAGAGACAGGCGGCGCTTTTAGCAGTAGCGTCACCGCTTACCAAATCCAAGCTAGTTAGGGAATGCAAAGTGACACTTAGCTCAGTGTCTCAGTCAACTACCGTCTCTGTTGTCTGGGTTACCAAAAATAGGAACATAAAAGCAATGAGAAGGCGGCTGAGCTGCCGAAGACAGGAGTCGGTTTGGATGAATTCCAAGCGGTGGCACTGGGTTGCCCGCTGAAATAGTCCAAAGACAGACATTTGCTTGAACTGGGTAGACACAGGTAGTCAAATATAGATACCTGTAAGGTATCGAGAGAACCATGGCACCACTACAAGACGACAAAGACCTTGGACCTGCTTAGCAGATCAAGGCCAGAGGTATTATGATTTGTAGCAACCATAACAGAGTACTGGTCAATAGAAACAATATGGTATAAATGTCGCTTACGTATTTTTGGCGATTAGGGCTCGATAACTAGAAATGTGAACTCGATTGGACATCCCAACTATAAGAACAATTTTTTAAAAAATTTCAACTTATGGTCAGAAAATTCGTTGTATCCAAAAACGTTACAATGACCAAGGAGAAAATTTATTTGCCAATTTTGTAAAATAAATGTTAAGCGTTTTAAAATAAAATATGTTAACAAAATTGTTCTATATTTTTCAGTTTACTCATTCGAATATACAAACACAAACCTTAAATTCCCGATATTCCATATCTTACTTACTACCAGTCAGTGTGTTCATTAGGATGGTCCAACAAATGCATGTGTGAAAAGTACAGCCAGAATTTGAATGCTCTCATCCCTAAAATTGGTCTTAATCGAAAGAATATATCCCCGGTTTTTTATTTCGAAATGAAAAAATATTTAGAGTTCGCTCAAAGTTTTCCATGTATTTGATATGGGGGAAAAAATATTTTTCTTGGAAATGGTATAAAAGAGAACCCGAATTTGATTTTCAAGAATTCTAAACCATTTCTACGAAAAGTTGGTTTTCCTCATAAAACATACCTCTAAATATTATTTGACAAAAAAAATTGAAAAAAAAATTATATAAAATTTTTCGGTACAGAACAATCGAAGGGGGTGGGATCATTCACTATATTCGTGTGCAATTTCCCAAACCCAAACTTTAAAAAATCGTGATTGCGCTTTATACTTACTGGTATTTTCCCCCATTTCCTACTGTTTCTTCTATAAAAACTACTTCCGAATGGAAGATAGACTGAAAGCCTATGAAGCGGCTGTTAAACTATTGATAGAGTCATAAAAGTATAAATGATTACGCATAGTGCCTACCACACACTCCTCTTTTCACATATCTCGCCAGCGCTATGCCCTGCTTTATCCAAACAAATACAATATTCAGTGGTTGATGCTCGACACCGAGCTGGTATTAATGCCCGAATATATCGCGCTTCTATTTTTCACGGCACTTTTTTTGAAAAAAAAATCTTTTTGGCTTTAACAAAACATACTTTTGCAATTTTTTTTCGCCGCTTTTGTGTCACTTTTTAACTTAAGTATTTATACCACATCACGTTTTCCACTTTGTCTGATGTCACACAAAAAAAAAGTAAAAATACAAGGTCGTACTTACCAGCCGCAACTTTACCACTGACATTTAATTGTAGTCTATGCCTCCATGTAAATATAAATACATACAAATGTATGTACGTAGTATATATTATAAGCATATCACTTACATTCGTTCTTATCTTAGCTCCACATATATTTTGTGTCTTTCCAGGAAATTTCGTTTTGTTGTGGCGACGCGGCAGCAACGTGCTCACTGCCTCCAATATAATGGTGACAAGGGATGAGCGCATAAGACTGATAGATGGTTATAATTTAGAGATATCAGATTTAGAGCCGCAAGATGCTGGGGATTATGTTTGTCAAATCAGTGACAAAATAAATCGTGATCAAGTACACACTGTGGAAATATTGGGTAAGTCGGTGTGCACACAACAGACAATGCTTATTACATTTATATATATATGTATGATTATTCTGGTCTTTGTGATAGTTACTACAACAACATATGTATGCATGTATTTATATATATGTATGTGTATGTATGAAACTTATCAATTTTTTGGGCAATATGTTGCATCAATGTAAATATTGCCCACTGTGGTATTGTGTTCATCATATAACTTGTTGTTGTGGTTTCTATCTTTAATGCCATCAAATAAATAAATAAGCACAATTTATTCGTGGTTGAGTTTAACCTTATTCGGTGAAATTGCCATGGAAGGTTGTAAGCAAATACTACAAAAACAGCCATATACTTGTGTTGTAAGATTAGCTTCTTGTGGAGATAGTCTTTCTGGTGTCAAAATTAATTAGCCAAAAAATATTTAGTGGGGCAGGATTTTATTTTATTGCTTTTTAGTAAGATTTATTTTTCAATCCGGAAAATTGTTTCATGCCAGAAACACCACCCAGTAGCAAAACTCAAAAGGATTTTCAGTGAACGTTTGATTTTTATATTCGTCCTTGTGACAAGGTTTTTATTAGCTTTTTAGCATTATTTTATTGAATAAGTATTAGCCGAGTAGTTACATATAACAAAACAAAATTTTTCAAAGGTTCGAGTATACTTCTGCCATGAGAAAAAATTCCTTCAGAAAATCGACTCCTTTTTTTATAGAAAAACCAGTCTATAATGAAATTTCTTCAATAATACAAAGTCGCTAAAAGCCTAGAGTCCGAGAGTTATGTGGACATATTTTATATGGCTTTCGGGACGTGCAAATTACCGTCAATGCAAAATAATGCATGCCTTTGTTATTTCCTGCCAAACGCGATGGAATGCAACAATTACATCCTTCAAGTAATAGTTTTATTAGCCAGCAATCAACTAATTTGTCTGCCAGCAAAACTTTGATATTCTAGTGGCAATCGAAAACATAGTTGATTCCACCAAGCCTTAACCGCAGTTTCTGCCTATTCCTCCTATTAATTAGAAGCAAATGGAAGAAATAGCAAAAATTTAGAAATAATCCTGACCTTAATACTCAATACGTGAAGACAAATATTATTTAACTTAATGTTATTTTCTAAATTTTCATTTTATTCTCACAGTTCCGCCAAGTGTACGCGCTATACCCACCTCTGGTCAATTGCAAGCGCGCAAGGGTGGACCCATCACTTTGGAGTGCAAGGGATCTGGAAATCCGGTACCATCGATATATTGGACGAAAAAGGTAAGCAGAACTAAATTGCAAGTGTATAGATTTGTAAATTACGAGATAAACCGGTTTTTATATAGGTAATTTTTAATATCTTTTAGATTAAAGATTTAACTCTAATCTCTAAACTCTCTGATCGGCTTTTGCCCTAAAATATGACCAAATATTGTACACTTATTTTCATTATATTTAATAGTATATTATTCTGTGCTATAATAATACAACAAAATCTATATCCATAGTAAAGTAATGCCTTTCCTCGGCCTACTATTAGGGGGCCTATTTTATAAAAGTAACAGCTGCGATAATTGTCGATTTTCCAGAAAATTTCATAGCCATAATTGTTGGCAACATTTTATTTTCTTTTTGTGTTTCATAGACGCCTGCAGGCAACTGTGACAATTTTTCGAAAGCGACAGGGACAATATTGGAATATTCACACAGAATCATTCAAAGTTCGAAAAGCCTTTTTTTTTTTAATATCAGAATGCGTATAGTTATAGTTTCGACACGTGTGCATATGATGTGCGTTTACATTGTGGCTCACTCAAGCGAACTTATGTACATACGTCAACGATTTCATTGAATTTCCTGTGCTGCAGACGCCACAAAATAACTCACATCAAATATATTCATACTTATGTACATATAAATGTGCATAACTATGTGGAAGAAAATGTGCACACACTAGAGCTACATTGCTGGTTCAGTTCACAACCAAAAGACAATGTACCTAATAACGTAATCACTTAAGCATTTTACGTGTGTAAGCAAACGTTGAGTGTCCATATAGACACCAAATCACGTAAAGGCACAAGTGATCATACAAGTGCAAAAACAGAATCAAATAATAGTAACTGCCATAGTTTGAGCCACAGCAACAATGGCAACAAATACTTTCATGTTGTTGCTGGGAATAACCACAAGGAATAACTAACGCACACGTACGCACACTTATGTGTGTATGTTTTAGGGTGGTCCAAAGATGCACGGGAAAAAGCAAAGTCGGTATTTTAATGCTCACGCCGTCTAGGATTGTATCGAAAAGAAACATAACCCATATTTCGAGATCCGAAAATATTTACAAGTCGATCATTTTATACCGGGACAAAAAAGTTTTGTGGAAATGGTATAGAATTCTTTAAAATCAATATTTTTGGATCGAACATAGTATCCAGTTTTTTATGTTACCATATTTTAATACAAAATTTTTTTATGGGGCCCTCCTTTGCATTTTTTTGGGGTTTTGAGGAACCTGTAAAAAACAGTTCGTTTAAAGTAATGGTTAAATAAACAATTAAGCGTTATTATCTGAGGTCTCCGTAGGAGAAACAGAGCTCTTTGATCGAAAAATATTGATTCTAAAGAATTCTACACCGTTTCTACGGAAAACTGTTTTTCCCCATCTAAAATACATGGAAAACTTTGACCTCTAAATATTATTAATTTCAAAATTAAAAAAAAAGTAAGTGCGCCTGGGCCACACGGGAGAAGTGAAACTTACGGTACATATCTATTTTGTCTCATAACCAATATACATACGAACGCCACCTGAAATGCAAAATAACGTCACAACATCGTCACTGAAATGTAAAAAGTCGTGACAAATTTTTTTTTCATAAAACGATGTGGGGAGTTGTAATTCAATGAAATCCATCATAGCAACCCAAAAGTGAATTTTGAATTTTTTATAAGTTACGACTTTTTGTATTTCAGAGACGATGTTGTTACGTTGTTTTGCATTTCGGATGACGATATGTCAGACATCCGCTTTTGCTTAAGGTTATATTTTTTGCCTTTTTTCTATTTAGATCCCTGCCTCTACCCTTCGTTCTAATTATATTTACGTTATTCTGTTTTCCTTTATCGTCATTTTTATCTTTATACTCTATCGATAACAAAGTCGATAGTAACATCCCACAAAATATCGTTAGCAAATCGGATAAAAATATCGATAACAAAAGCAATGACAAATTCGTTAAAAATTTCGACAGCAAACCAGATAATAATATTGCTAACGAAATTGATAAAAATATCGATAACAAAATCAATAAAAATATCGATAACAAAATCGATGACAAATTCGTTAAAACTTTCGACAGCCAAACCGATAATAATATTTCTAACGAAATCGATAAAAATATCGGTAACAAAACCAATAAAAATATCGATATATGATCGATAACAAAATTGATAAAAGTATCGATAACAAGATCAATAACAAAATCGATAAAAATATCGATAACAAAACCTATAAATAATTGATAACAGAAACGATAAAAACATCGATAACAAGACCGAAAAAATATCGATATCAAAGTCGATAACAATATCGGTAACAAAACCGATAACAAATTTGTTAAATATATTGATAAAAATATCGATAACAAAAACCATAAGAATATCGATAACAAGACCNAAAGTCGATAACAATATCGGTAACAAAACCGATAACAAATTTGTTAAATACATTGATAAAAATATCGATAACAAAAACCATAAGAATATCGATAACAAGACCAGGTTATCAGTTCGTCGGAATATTTTTTTTTATGCATGTTACCGCATAACTTTGGACCACGTCAACCGATTTCGATAATTCTTTTTGCATCGGTTTAGATCCTATCATTGGATCATGAAACATATATATTTATATATATATATATATAGATATATATGTATATATAGTTGGTTTTTTTGCTAAAAATTACTTGTTCCTTTTATTTTTATCGTTATGTAAGTAAAATGTTTAAATTTACCTTGGTCTTAATTTTTGCCTTATCTTTACGCATCTTGGTATTTGTTTTTATTTTTGCCTTTGCCTTTATCCTTTTCTTTATCTATGTACGTACTCACCTTTACTTTCATTCTTTTCCGAAGTGTTATTCTTTAACCTTTTATTAGCAAGTTTTTGTGAAATTAATACCATGTGCATACACTAAAGAAGCACTTGTTTCAGCCGCACCCATTTCCGTTGCACCATTTCCGTGTGCAATTTCCGTTGAATTTGCCAATTTACTACCAACCAACCAACCGCCGCTAAAGAAGTTTCACTTAAAAAAAAACTATCCTTTTTTGTTTAGCACCCTACTATGAATACATATGATACTTTTGGAATTGAAGTTCCAAAAAGCAGCAAATGTGTATGCCTGTGAATGGTGCCGTTTCCATGTGTTGGACATGCAGGTACATAGCTGTCCTCCATATCAGGCATATGCATACATTAATGTGGTCATCATACATAAATGATATGGTTTTTGCCATCTTCACGTACAAATACGAGCCCACACATGCTTTCGAATGTTGCCGATTCATTGAGGAGCTGAGAATCTAAGCCTTCCATAGTTGAGACACGCAAAACAATAATAAAGGTAGCCACATCACAAATCCTTGATGGGTTTCAAGCGTGTCTGCATACATAGATAGTAGATTGCAAGTGTCATCATATATGTATGTATGTATGCAGACCACAAGAGTGTGCTTGTTGGCTGTGTATCGGTTTGAGATCGTTATAATTATGCGATTTGGCTTTAGAGGCATCTGCACTAATGCTTGTAAATTGCATATGGACATTTTGTTGTTACATATGCACACATGTCTAGGTGCGCAGAGATTTGCAAATCCCTTTGTAGGGAACAAGAAATGTTGAGGGAATTTGGGACTGACTTAAGAAACATATGGTTTGAATCGTTGTATTGTTCAAATATGAGTATATGAATTTTAATACCGCATATTACAGAGAGAATTCATTAGGTCAGTAATTTAAAATAATATTTTTTTTTTTACATTGAGCCTTAAACTGAATGCTGTGTCAAAGCAAAATTTGTTGCAGAAGCGGCTGAAACCATCCGAAACCGTATAATCTGGCTATAATGAAACTTTGTGTGGTATTAAGAAACTACTATAATTTTTATTTAACTAAACTACGAAATCAGCAATGATTTTTGAAGCTACCTTTGAAGTACAGATAAATCGTTGGCCTTACTCTGCCCTGGACTTACCATCCAGTGCCTGTTGAACATTTTGTTTAACCGTTTATTTAGGATCCGCTTTGTGTGTGCTTTGGCTCGTTGTTTCGCTAGGCAATCATGTACCTCATGCCCCGGCACTAGGGTGGTTCAAAAACGCAGGTGAAAAAGTAAGTCGGAATTTTAATGCCGCCACCGCCTGGGACTGTTCTATAACGAAAAAACATTTACCCCTATTTTTTATTTTGAAATCAAAAAATATTTAGGGAGTGTTCAAAGAGTTCTAAGTTGTCCATGTATTTTTTATGGGGAAAAAAGTAACTTTCGTAGAAACGGTATAGAATTCTTGAAAATCAATATTTTTCAATAAGAAAACTCGATTTCTCTTCAGAAGATTCCCAATAATGATACCCAATGGTTTCTCTAACAATGTTTTTATGGTAACTACATTTTGTAGGCCCACCAAAACCCCCCAGAAAATGTCCCCCATTTCATCCCCAATAAAAAATAAACAATTGGATATTAATATTTCTGAAGATAACCAAACCCGCCCATTGGCTTTGCAATACGGGGTCATTAGCGAATTTTATTTGAATCTTCATGTGGCCCGTCATATTTTCGATTTTCAGAAATAGCAGAGGGTTCTAGAGATCAAACTACATAGCTGGATTAACTTTCATAATAGTCTTAAATCACCTGGGAAAGTTAGCATTCGGTGTTGAGATGCTCTCTGGCGAGCTTGAAAAAATTCATTTTATTGCACATGGCAATTTTAAATGATATATCTAATGTTATTAATATTTTGGCGCTTACAATTTTGCTAAGTGTTTCTGTTGCGCTTCTTTTTCAATTTATGCGTCTTGTTGTTGTTAAACAAACGTAAGGATCTACAGTTTTATGGGGCCTCCAAATGTCAAATCGATTTTATGAGAAGCTTTTTCATGACCGAAATACGCTCAGAGGTTTTCCACTGCCTTCCCAAGAGCCCGCACTGTTAGAAAAACCTGTTTTGAATTTAACCCTTAATTAGGCGCATGGGGTCAAGCC